GGGTGGCGTTGTCATCTACGACCTCTCGTTGGACGATTTCCGCGGTGTCTGCACCGGAGACAAATTCCCTATCATCAGGGGTGCCAAGTACAAGCTGTAAGAACGTTGAGCCAGAGAGAGAGACTGGTTGCACGGGTACCGAGAGAGTCTAACGTCACCAATTCACGTAACCTAAGCTGGAAAATGTATTTTTTTTTTTTTTTTTTTTTTTTTTTTTAGTTTTCTGAAATAACCATCCTGGTTGGCCATTTAATGTTTTTATACTCCTTACGTAGTTTTAGTCTCTCGCGTGTGCTACATTTCAGAGGCTGTTCAACGTTTGGAGAAATTGGAGAAGAATTCGTTGTATCGAAAATAAAGATGAAGTCTTCGAGACGTCCTTTTCTCCTTTCAAATTCCCCGCTGTGTCGAACACTGCGATTGTAATATCCACATGGTCGCTATAGCGCTATATCCCTCAAGAGCAGGGACATGTATAACGCAAGAAGAGTATTATATTTCAATTGAAATGAAAAATAGGAGTAATTGGGGATCATCGTGATTTTAGTACGTTGATCAGTCGGTAAGGTAGTGATCTATTAAAAATACCTGCATACATGTAGATATAATATATACATATATATATATATATATATGTTTGTATACACACACACACACATATATATATATATATATATATATACACGTATGTATATTTCGTGCAGTCTATGAGTTCTGATAAACACATTTGCTCGGGTGTGTACGAAAGGTTTCATTGTAAATGGACTCGTTAAATATATCAAATATTAGGAGTTATGGCACACGAGACACAGCTAATCCGCAGTATCCACTCTCGTAGAAACGAAACGTTGCTGAAGTTTCTGTACATTCGTAGTAGTTTCCGTATCTTCCTCATTGGATCGACGTTGTTTGTCGTTAAACAGAAATCATTTCTCGCCTCATTCGAACTCGCCAAGAGACACTCGTGCACAAAGTACAGTATGTTGGTACAGTGAACGCGGTGCATGTCCGGTAACATTTTTGTTCCATTCAGTTCCTGCGTTTAGATTCGTCGTCCCGCTAAATCGAAACGATACCAAACATGACAAATGATTTTTCTTTCTTTTTTTTTGTTTTTTTTTTTTTTTTTTTTTTTTCTTTAAACGATCCATCAAACAGGCCAAACATATACGTTCCTCCGTCCCGATATAAAAATTCAGAATTTTTCGAAAGCGGCACGTTCACGTGATTTGAAATCGTTCCGAAAGCGGAACGGGAAATCGAAAGCAGTCGCAACGACTCGCAAACACATCCTGCAGCGTAATTACACAATTACTTAGAAAATACTGGGCGTGGTAGTTTGGTGGAACAGCTTACACACTATGGTACAGTTAATAATTCGATATAATAATACTTTAACAGTGGGCGAGGAGAGGATGGTGGAGGTGGGTTGATGACAGGGCACTCACGTTACATTACGGCGTTATAATATATATAATATATATAATATATATATATATATATATATATATATATATATATATATATAATATGCTGTACACCTTAATATTTCAGGCGCGACGGATAATATTAGATTTTATATATATATATATATATATATATATATATATATATATATATATATAAAAGTTATATATAAATGTATAAATATAAATATAAATATAAATATGTGTGTGTGTGTCCAATATAATATACGTAGCGTTACAACGTACAATAACACAACAGTTATCCCTGATGCTTAAATCCTAAACTCTATTCTAAATCCCCGGTCCTCGCGAGGAGTGGTGGTTTCCGAGATCCCCGCGTAAGCACCACGAAAAATCTCTTCGTCGGTATCGTCGTTGGATCATAATTTTAGTATAATTTTCACACGACAGAGGAACGAATTTTATGACGCTCGAAAAAAATTTTATATGGAGCGAACGGACGAGATTTTACCATTAACGTAATGAAAAAGTGTATTCGGAAAATTTCGTGGATGCCAATAATTCGCTTCGAAGTGATTTTCCGTGTCTCACGAACGAGCGGTCGACGCGGTTCGAGGAGGATCGAAGGGCTCTCTAAGCAGGAACAGGACACACTCGACGAGATTACGTTGTGAAAGCATATCTGCGTGACATCAGATTCAGCTCACCACGACACTCGGACAGTGAAAAAATAAGTACGCGGAGCTCTCTCTGACGTGACTTTCCTTTATACTTGAGTACTGTGTGAAACGTTCTTTATTTCTCTCTTTCTATACATATATATCGAATGCTCCTTCGGTGCTTCGATATATTTTTTCGGAAAATGGATTCTTTTTGGAAATTTTTGTGTCCGTGTGTCGGTGTTTTTTCCCCCTCTTTTTTCCCTTCAAAAAACTAAGAAGCAGCGACGAGACGATTCGTCGCGTTCTATTTCGGTACGGTTTATTACATTATTGGGGAGGGGATGATACGTATCTGCTGATTTCTCGTTTCAACTGATTCTAAGAAGTTACTCGAGAATTCTATGTTTTGTCCCTCTACCGGAAATTAATCTTCGTCTATGGTCTTCATCTTCTGGTTCTCCCGTTTACGAATAGTGGAATGAAAATCTTCAACGTTCGTATAATATTTCTTAGAGTCAATACGATGCTGCTATACAGGCGTCTCTGACGATTGTACCGAGAATTCTTTCATATCTACTCAATGTTCCATTCCATTCCATTTGATATTTAAAATTTCTTTCTCGATAGAAATTTATATCTGTATATTTTCAATTCAAATTTCTCTCTCGAACTTCGAAACGAAAATTTTCAATCCTAAAGTCAAGCTCTTAGAATTATCCTCGGTTTATGTCACGTATTAAATCCCATTTCCATTTATTTCACCGATCATTTATCTTCAGAAACGACCTGCATCATCAATAAATGCATATTAAGTAAATGCGGATCACGTAATTGGTCAACTGCTGGGATCAAAGTATCGCTGTGTTATTAATAAATACAGCGACTAACTCTACCGATAACGTTTCTTTCTTCGTACAATAATAAATCCCTTCGAACGTTCGATAAATTTAATTAGTCAATATCGCATCGTTCTTGCAACGTTGACGAAATAATTAGCATTTAACGATTCTCTATAATATAACGTCGCTATACGGAAATGAAGCTCAGGGAGAGGTGGCGGGAACATTTTTTTTCTTTCTTTTTTTTTTCCTTTTTTTTCTTTTTAGAATTTCACGCAAGTACAGAACAAATAATAAACGACGAATTTTCATCAGCTTTGAATGTTTCTCGGGGACGGAATTGGTTGTAAAAATACAAGCGTGTAAACGTTAGAATTTTCGATTGCGATATTTGTTTTTCTTTTTTGTTTTTTTTTTTTTTTTT